ATTATCTTACAATGATTTCCAGTAGCAATTTTGCTGGAGTCCGCCTATCTGAAAGTAATTGGGGGAGCCTATGTTTAGCAGTGGACGTCCTGAGCCTGATAAAATAATGATGTGCTGTCTGGTCCATATCGCTAGATTAATAAAGCAAGCCTTATTCTAAGTATAACAGCTCACACATAGGACTCACTTAGTTTTTAGTCAAATTTCCGTTGTGCTTGGCGACTGGGTTGCACCCAGTTGTGCAGTCTCTTTTTTGTGCCTTTAGGCTTAATTCATTCTGTCACCGGCAGTAATTCACCGAGGGAAGTGGAAACGAAAGTTTTTTTTCTTCTCTTATAATATCTTCTGAATCACTTCGTTGTGGGAACCAAGATAGTTATTTAGGTCCTTGGGACGCGCCGGACTTCAGTGTTCCGGTGTTTAATAGTTGTAGCTACTGGAAATCCTGGCATGCAAGAGTTGCAGCGGTTTTGGGAGGTTGTGGCAGGTTTGACCCACAATAAAATACTGTTACGTTTTTTGTTTTAGAAAAATGTGGTGTTCTCCAAGACTGTTTCTCGAGAAAAAGTTATTTCACTCGCTACCCTGGAGTGGTCATGGAGGTGATTGCGACGTGCACTACAGCTGTCTTCTTTACTGTTCTACTTCTGCTCATTGAGTATAGAATATTTTACCGTTTATGGAATTATGGGACCGTTAAGTTAGGTAACAGGGACAAACCTCAGGTTGAACTGCGGACTCCTGGCAGTGAACGAGAAAAGTTTGACGTGTTCAACAAGAGGCAACAGATCAGGAAAACTAAACACAGTAAGTTTTATTTACATAGCTTTATCCATAAAGGGGAGTTTTTTGTCCTTCTAGCGGATATCTAGCTGGTTAAGGAAATTGTTATAGCAATCTCTTTTAATGAGCGCAGTGGCGTTATTGTAGCGTTGGGTCCCATCACCGTAGCATTCAAAAATTGACTGCCCAATGGTTTGTTTGGCACCGGGAAATAATCTATTGAATAAATAGGACCACAATCAACGTTTTCACCATCTATTGAGTACAAAACCATTAGCCTTCACGTAGCTGAAAAGTCGCCATGAATGCTTCAATGATACGAACCACTTTTATTAAAATAAAGCATAAGTACTGCATACATCCATTATTATGAAATAATATTTTTTTTATTATATCTTTTTTATAGTTTTACATTGTTGTTTTTTAATGTTATTTTATGTTTGCGTATTTGGTGCATAGGTAATGCGTAATGGCAAATAAATTATTTGTTTCTTTTCCTCTCTTTTTTTCTTTCTTTCTAAAAATATCAGATGAAAAGGTGGACACTTTCGGAGACTATGTGTTGGCATCAAATGTGGCAAAGAAAGTTGGCAATTTCTACGCGGTCCACAACGTGTACCTTGGAATTGGAAGAGGAGAAGCATTGGCATTGTCTGGACTCAAACAACAGGGACGTAACACGCTGGGTGAAGTACTGGCGGGGTACAAAACACCAGATGTAGGCAATGTGTGGGCCATGTCAAAATATAAACTGAGAACACAACCGCATAATGTAAGTAAGACTTTGCTGGGTATATACCTGGAGATATCTAATCTATTATATATAAAAATGAAACCGTTTCCCGTTGTCACGCCGTAGCTTGACATCGGTTTAACCGATTTGGCTGATTTTTTATGTGTTTTTTATTGTCAGGAGAAGGTTCTTAAGTTAGAGAAAAAAGTCGGAACGGGAAAAAAGAGATATTGCGCGTACGAAGTCGCGGGCAGAAGCTAGTATCCAATGGAAAGAGATGAGCTAATGATGATGCTAGACGAGTATGCTTTGCTTAGCTATCGTTTTCTTATCTTAGCGATAACTTCATTTTACAAAAACAGGTAGGTACTATCGGTGGCCCCCTATTGTAATAAGATTGTTCATCATTTGTATCATTTACACGCTAAACAATTGAACCCTAGCAGCTGTAGCCAAATGCCATTTAGCGCTTGTCTACTTGTAGAACAGAAAACTAAGTTATATGGAATTGCCGTAAATTTTGACACTTGTCAGTGTCATACCCATACATTTAGTTTTCTACTCTCTCTCTCTCTCTAGACAAGCGCTAACGTGGTGTTTGGCTAAAGGCACTGTTTACAAGTTCAAGTGCAATTAATATTGTTAACCGACTGTTATAGCAGAGTTGATCTGCGATGGAATCTAATTTGATGATGAACCATGTTATCGTACAGTATAGTCAGCAAGTATCCATCAGCTGCGAACGCGACCTGTTACCTTCATGGATGGTGGCCACATCTGCTCTGGAACTCATTGCTGCGCTGCGAGGAGTGCCTCGCAAGTTCATAAAAGATGAAGTTAAAAACTATATCGTGGCTCTCGGTAAATCAACTAGTATACCATTATCTGTAGCTATTTTTTATTAACTATGACGGTTCCGGGATAACGGTTCTTACAGTTCTCTTTTGAAAATACAGCAGCAGTATTCCTGCTGGTAATGTGATGATCTCAAATTGAATAGCGATCATGACCACCTGTATTTTATATAGGGAGTCCAATTATCTAACTGTCGCTCCTATTGAACACAGAATTACAAGAACTTTCAAAACAGTATGTTGAACACATTCACGCGAACGATCTTACTCGCCTGCACTTTGCTGCGGCAGTGATTGGAGCACCTCCTATTATCGTGCTGGACGAGTGCACTGCGTACCAGGAACATTCTGTGAGACGAGCCATGTACTCCATTCTCAACGCGCTTAGGAAGAGAGGGCATGCTATCTTCATTAGTTCTAGCAGGTAATTAGTGCTGAGATTGGTATCTATTCATTAAAATTCCAGACAGAGTCATTAATATGACTAACTATGAGAAGAAACCGTAAAAGATACTTCCATAATCTCCATCGGGATTTAGGAATATTGTTTTGATTCGAGTCTCTTGACTTCATTTTCATTTTATCTACTACTTCCTCCTTTTTGTGAACTATCTTCAAAATATCTCTGTTCCAGTTAAGACTACCTTTGACACGGTTGTATTACCTAGCATTTTTATCATTCTTTGATCTCAGCATCGAGAGCCACATGCCAGTGACAAACAAACTGGCCATCATGCTGGACGGCCATATTTTTGACGTGGATTCGGTTGACAACATGGTAGAGCGATACAGTGAGAAGGGATACACTGTCGTTGTGCATCTCAAGGACGAGGTCGATGTCACCATTATGTTCGCTAGATACTTCAGGAATTTTCTTCTCAATGATACAACAGAGGTAAGTGAATCTTTTATGTTTTCTTAATTAATCTTCGATGAACAATAACAACTAGATAAAGGGTTACGTACAAAATCATGCTCCAGTTCTGTCCGTGTGAATAATAATAGTAAAAAAAATTACAAACAGAGAAAAATGTTTTAAAATAGTTTTAAGTTCAACCTAATAACAACCATGGCACCTAATAATAAAGTCATAAATCGTCAAAATATTATCTAATACTTACGACCATTCGTCACATAAGACAAGAAAAGTATTTTCTTACTCCTGTCATGTAGAAATTAAAAGACATAAGTTATACAATATCTAGTTTGAATTCAACCTTAAGGTCGAACAAATAAAGATAATTTTTCCATTATTGTCTTGCGATCTATATCGTTTTGTTTTGTTTCGTTTTGCTTCTTCAAATTTCGAATTTCGCTACAGGAGGTATGTATGGAGTCGCGTTGGACACTAAAATAATTTTATAATATGAAAATTAACATTTCGGGATCTTAGTATACATCACTAATTTTTATTAGCGGTACGTTTTTGTGTATGATATGTTTATTTACTTTATCGTTAAAAGTCTAAGTCTAAGTCAAAATTATTTATTTCAGTTATACCAGGAAGGCACTTTTGAACAACAACAATATAAATTTAAAAGTGAAGCTATTTGCTCATTCCAAGGTGTAGATTCCTATGGAGAAGAACGAGCAAGAAACGATACAATTTCTTATTTTTTCAATACAAATCGACTCCATGCATCCACTGTTCTGTTTATACAAATGTTGGCGAGACTTGGCCAAGGAATCGCCAACACACGCACAAACATTGGTGGCGTTGGTTTATAATTGATAATTTTGTCTAATTTGATATTATTTACTAGTTTAAAAGCTTAAAATATAACTTATACTTTATGTACTTATCAAAAGTAAGACACTCCGGCCGTTATACTGCTTTTTCGGTTGTTATTTTTGCAACTTGCAATTACTCGTGAGACGTGAGTACGTTGGCCGTGTTTGGAGCATACTAAACAAAATAAGAGCTCACTTCTCAAGTGAGCTCTTATTTGTCGAGACGATTTTCTTGCGCCGACCCGATATCTAGTTGTTATTGTTGATCGAAG